ATGAAATCCCCTCAGAGCAAAATTCAATGAAATAATTTATACACAATTATAATTTAGTACATTGTTAAAGTTATTAATTTATCAATATAGAACTCAAAAAAATTTGTATTTCGTATTAATAATTTCGCCTTGTTGAAGTTTTCACTTCTGTCGAGTGGTCTTATGCACACACATTTTTTTATTATTCTTTTACTCCTATATATCCACGAATAAATAATTTGCACTTTTATATTTTATCTTCTTTTTCCGTGCTTTTTTTACGATTGTTAAATAATAAATTATTAAATTAAAGATTAAACTAAAATTTTACTAATATGAGGCAGTACCTCTGTAGTGAATTGTGCCAATATTATTAATATACCTATCAAAGAATCCTATGAAGTATAGTGACATTCAATTGTCAACAATACGAGTATAATACATAATAATAAAAATTTCAATTGAACTTATTAGTGTTAATTTGGATAGTTGACTTTCATTAATAATAGTGATGACAATTGCTCGGGCATCCCATAAGTCTTAGTCCTCACATCAGATACCTTTTAGTAATCCGTCACAAAAGACTTATGTTCGCCTGGGACCTTAAGACAGTAGAATCCAAGTATCCTAGTCTGTTATTGCCCACGCACACCTTAAAGCACTCACAGAATTTTCTCGACGAACCTATTCACCTCCCGTTGAGTGCTACATAATAAAAGTAATTTACATTGGTCGATGTGCGAAAGAAGTACGTGAAAAATTATTTTGGTGATCCGTGATGCATTGTTTCATTTTATGTGCTTGACCCGTTCATTTAATGTATACTTACAAAATTGTGCATCTATACTTTCTTGGTCTTCATAAATAGAATAAAGTTGACCTATAAAAAAAATATATTTAATTATACATATATCTCAGGTTTTAATTGTTTTAAATTTCGATCTAATCTCGTAAAGCCATTTATGAACACGATTGGAGCATAAATCTTATATTTCATATTTAATTACAAATTAAATAAAAGCCTGATGCAATGAACTGCTATATGACACTCAATACAATAGTAATTATTTAATGTTGTAGTTACGTTATTTAAACGATGTTCTTTCCAAACACTGAATTATATAGCATTATTATAGGCTATAGCCACTGTATATATGGTTGTCACATCTTCTTTATCTTTATAAGCTATATGGCTACATCGTAGTATAGTAAGGTATAGTAAGTTCCAAGTCCAACGACAATGATAAATTACACTTAGGTACACGAATGACGAAAAATGCCTACCTTTATAATAATTGCAATAATACAAAAACGTATATTTTAAAACGATTTCTCATAAAATGTATCTTATTTTTGGGTAAGAAGAACGAATGTTACTGTAAAATAAAATATGTTAAAATTATATATAGGTATAGACGATATCAACAAACCATTAACTCCGACTAAAACGTACGGAAGATCGAGAAATGAAATGACTAAGCTTATTTTTCCAAGCCCATCTTCTATTACAGATACCCCTAAAAGAAAAATTATTATAAATGACTTAATAGATATGCCAACACCAAATTCAAAAAGGTTGATTTACGCAGATGAAGATGACACACCAAGAAAAAAAAAGTTAAAATTAAAAATAGATCAACAAAAAATTAAACTACGTAATAAAAATATCCGAGTTTGTAAATTAAAACAACGTGTAACACGATTTAAAACTCGTAACACATTACGAAGTCTTATGTATTCGCATCAATTTCGATCAAAAAATGCAAGAGCAATCGTAACAATGCAACTTAGAAATAAGCAAATACCTTGGACACTAGAAGAAAAAAATCTGGCTTTGACTTTGTTCTACAAATCCCCAACAGCCTACAATTTTTTAAGGCTACAAAATATTAACTTACCAGCTCCATCGACCATTCGTCGTCGGATCGAACAGTCAACATTTTTACCTGGCTTAAGTGGAACATTTTTTAGTCACATTAAAAAAAAATTTGAACATAAAATAAACAATGAAAAAAGTTGCAGTATAAGTTTTGACGAAATGTATTTAAAAGAATTTTTAGAATATTCAAAAGACTATGACTTCATTGAAGGATTTGAAGATTTTGGACATTATGGTCGAACAAATAAAAGTGCGAATTGCGTAATGGTGTTTATGGCTCGAGGATTGTATTCGCCGTGGAAATTTCCAGTTGCTTACTTTTTGGCTCATTCTGGAGTAAAACAATAATTACTAAAATATATATTATAAAATCAATGGTAGTAGTTATAAAGTATAAAAATATACAATAGATAAACATGTAATTTTTATTGATGTAAATTATAATAATAAACACTTATAAAAAGTAAAAAAGTTATATTAGGTAGTCATTGATTTTTAACGCGAAAACTTAAATAATTAATTCAACTTATGAGTCAAGGTACCATTGTATCCAATTATATGTATGTTATGTTATATATATGAAATGTTGCAAACAAAACGCATATTCATTTTAAATAAAACAAATATAAAATATAAATTGATGTCAGGTATAGTGGCTAATGAGATAATTAATATCATTAAGTACCTTAAATATATTATAATGTATTGTATAATAAAAAGCTATAAATTATCTTATTTTAATTGGCAGGTATTCTAAATGTGACTTAAAATTTTTAATTTTGCAATTTTTGCTAATTTCGATGATGTTGCATAAAGTTTAATTTTTTTAATTATTTCACAAATTAAAAGTAGTGGCTTTACGTGGCGCGTTGGCTGCTACCATTCGCGAAATGCGACTGGGAGTAAGTAACTGCCACAGCTACTAGCCCTGGATGGGTGACCACCCGGGTTCATAGTAGTTAAAAACCTCGCCACACATACACGTATTTGCTATACCTACCGTAACAACCCAAAAAATCGTAAAAAACAACCTAAAGTACTAACCTTACCCCTACCACAGTTCATAACCCCTACAACAGCTAATGGCCTTAGTCGTAGTTAATTTATGTTTTACTCCTGAATGAGAAAAAAGTACGTGACTGGAAATTTCCATGGTGGAAACAATCCTCGAGCCATAAACACCATAACGCAATTTACGATTTTATTTGTCCGTCCATATGTCCAAAATCTTCAAAACCTTCAATAAAATCATAGGTTTTTGAATACTCTAAAAATTCTTTAATATATATTTCATCAAAACTTATACTGCACATTTTTTCTTTATTTGTCTTATGTTCGAATTTTTTTTTAATTTGATTAAAAAAAACGCCACTTAAGCCGAGTAAAAATTTTGACTGTCCGATCCAACGACGAATGATCGACGGAGCTGGTAAGTTAATATTTTGTAGCCTTAAAAAATTGTAGGCTGTTGGAGATTTGTAGAACAAAGTCAAAGCTAGATTTTTTCTTCAAGTGTCCAAGGTATTCGCTTATTTCTAAGTTGCATAGTTATTATTGCTCTAGCATTATTTGATGTAAATCGATGCGAAATATGCATAAGACTTTGTAATGTGTTACAAGTCTTAAATCGTGTTACACGTTGTTTTAATTTACAAGCTTGGACATTTTTATTACGTAATTTAATTTTTTGTTGATCTATTTTTAGTTTTAATTTTTTTTCCTTGATGTATCATTCTCATATACGTAAATTAACCTTTTGGAATTTGGAATTGGCATATCTATTAAGTCGTTTATTTTTTTCGTTTCGGGATGTCTATAATAGACGAAGGGCTTGTAAATATAAGCTCTGTCATTTCGCTTCTCGATATTTCATACGTTTTGGTTGGAGTTAATGGTTTGTCAATTTTGTCTA